AAACTCAACAAAAACTTCGAAATCATAAGTTCAAAACCACTGACGCCGCAAGTTTGAATAATCACATCAAACACAGTGCGGCCGGCGCGCACGGCGCTCAGTAGCGCCTCACAAGACCGCAGGATACTTCATGCATTGCGCGCACGGCACGGTGCGCGTGACGCGTAGTATAGCGCCTTACAAGTCTGCAGGATACTTCATGCATTGCGCGTACAGCACGGTGCGCGCTGACGACATAGCATAGCGCCATACAAGTCTGCAGGATACTTCATACATTGCGCGTATACCACGGTGCGCGCTCAAGTCGTTGAAAAGTTGTATTTTCTTGGTGTCGAACCTACCCCGAAGTACCCAATTTCCGAATAAAGCACACCGCCAGGATCACGATTCCTTTCCGTGGATGAAAAAAAAAAATATTAGTATCAAACATTGGTATTATATTAGTATAAAAACATAAGAGCAGGAACATACGATAAATTTTTAAAAAAGGCATATCAGAAAGCAAGAAACTAAAAAATCGTCAGTTTCAGTCCATTATTAGGATTTAAAACATGTCGTAAATTCTGGTCCAAAATTACCGAAAGTAAAAAAATTACATATGAAAAATGAAAACACATAGGTACATAGGTACAAACTGCCGTGCTAAGGAAAAACGCCGTATGTACATTCGAGAGTTGCCAAATTTCCTTCGATACAATGTTTATTTTTGGGGAAAGTTATGAATATTTTTCTATGAAATTTTCAGGTAATGTGTATTAACGTGAGATTAAAATTCTATGAAAAATTGGAAGAAAAATATTCATAAGTTCTTGATTTCTGATATGCATGTTTTAAAAATTTACTGCATGTTCATTGCTCATATGTTTTTATACTAATATAATACTAATGTTTAGTACTAATATTTTTTTCATCCACGGAAAGGAATCCAGAGACTCTCCGGTATTTTTTTTCTTTAATATACAGCGCAGGGGTGGGGGGGCAGCATAGTTAAGTGCCTACCCCTTCGTCCGCAATCGCCACCACCGAAATTCTCTGGTCCGCAAACTCCACCGGCCCTGTTCCGCCTTTCCTCAATCGCCACCATCAAAATATGAGAATCCGCAATTGCCACGTCCGCAAACGCCACCGCACCGTCTAAGTATTTTAACCATTACATAAGAGCGGCTTTATCGAAGCTCTCTGATATACGAACAGGTTGTAAGTCCTAGTTACAGGAAGAAGAAGAAGAAGAAGAGGAGGAGGAAACGAAAGAAGAAGAAGAGAAAGAAGAAGAGGAAGAAGAAAAAGAAAAATAAGAAGAAGAAGAAGAAGAAGAATAGGAGGATGAGGAGGAGGAGTCGGAAAAGGGAAAAACGGTTTTACGTCACGTTTGGCATCGTAGATATGGTCAAAATTAAGCCATTGGCGAGTAAACAGACACCAAATAGCTCCTTCCGTTGGCGTTTTTATATCCGCCCTCTTCTCTTCTTCTCTCGATTCAACTCAAAGATAAGAGTATTGGGTGCTAATGGGTTACATTTCGTTCTGTTATCACGCCATCTATCCTCCAATAAACATTTTAAACGGTGTGTTTGTTTAATAAACGGCTTGTTAACGAATTGTTCTCAGGTTTGCTTTTACATATTTAATATTTCAATGCTTCGGCCGGTCATCTTTATAAACTAATCAACGTTAGGAGCCACCTGGCCCTAATTACTGATTAATTATCTGTATCAGTTGGGTCACTATCATCTTGCGTTTTGATTTTAGACTTGATTGTGACACAATTTCAACAAAATCTCCAGCTGAGACTTTGAATTAAACCATGAATTTGGAGATCCTGCTCTCCTAGCTCCACATTTCACTGAGTTTAGAGAGAGGAAAAAAGATTGCTGCTCTTGGTTTTCTTAACAGGCTTTGCTGAATACCATGTATTCTTAGGTAGGAATAGTAGGCTTAGTGAAATCAATAGATAACAGAAAAGCCACGGCTTTATATATGTACCTAGTTTAAGTCACGTTATTAGTTCCAGTCTCACACACTGAGCGCCTCCGAATGTACAGGTCTAAGAGGAAGAAATCAGTGGTGGATTCAATGGAGAGGCCGTGGTGGCATGGCGCCCTCCCCGATCAAAAAGAGAAGAAATTAGGAGGTAAGAAGGAACGAACAAGGAAAAAATTACAATAAATGTAGCCAATATGAAAAATTATGAGCACGCTACAATAGGTATTACAACGGTGAGACCAATAAGATTTCGTGCCCACAAAATCTTAGTTATTTTATCTTTGAAGAAAAAACAGTTTTCAATTATTTTAAGCTGTCTTTTCATACGTGTTTACCTTTTTCGGTGCTCCTACTTTCTGAATCAAACGTTCACACAAAATTCGGTGAAATGAATAAAATCTAAGAAATTTCATCGACAACTATGACATGAAAGCTGATTCATTCGTGCCTCATTATAAAAAAAATGCTCAATTTCCACAGCCCGAGTAATGGGGCGGGGAGTTCGAAATACCCCCTTCTCAGCCACTCTCTGGTTCCACCGCTGCCGTCGTAGGTTATAATATTTTTCCTAATGGAGATATTGCATGTGTGAGGGATTCGCGATTTGACCATTGATTCTTATGTAAAAGTTCGCGAGAAACACGATGGTGCCACTGGTTTTCTCTGAAATCATCTCCCAAGCTCAAGAAAAGCTCTTAAAGTGAGGCCAAAATGGAGGGGATATCCCACGCTATCCAGAGAGTCCACCTCCACATCAAGACAAACTCTCCATGCAAAGATAAGGGAGCAAATACATTAGCAGGGTTGCCGTGTTTTCAGTTTTGAAGTCCCCAAATAAAGTGGCAGCTCTGTCAATGTATTTGCTCCCTATCTTTGCATAGAGAGTTTGTCTTGATGTAGAGGTGGACTCTCAGGATAGCGTAGGATATCCCCTCCATTTTGGCCTCACTTTGAGAGCTTTTTTTGAGCTTGGGAGATGATTTCAGAGAAAACCAGTGGCACCGTCGTGTTTTTCGCGAACTTTTACATAAGAATCAATGGTCAAATCGCAAATCCCTCACACATGCAACATCTCCATTTTTGCTTACCGTTATTGCTTGTTGCTTTTCATTTTCACTCGCTTTCCTTCTGCGCGACTTGCGCGGCAGGGTAACTAAAACTGAGACGCGACCGAAACAGAGGGAAAAAGTGGATATCGTGGAGAAGTCAGGAGGAGAACTAGCGAGTTGAAGGGTGGATAAGGAGAAAAAATTGATCGTGTTAAGACGGCTTCCGGTGGGACGAACCGTGAAATGTGGAAAGTTATCGAATTTCCCCGGGCCCGCTCGTGTGGGTAATGACAGGCTCCAGACTCGGACAACTTGAGAGGATTACGTGTGGTCCAAACTCCCAACCTCCTCCGCGCTCGCCAAAACGCCCTCCTCACGTGCGCCCAATCGATACTCACACCGCCCAACAACAACATCACAACAGTTTCGAGCGCAAAGCAACCATCCAAATTTTAGCGTGAGCCCTTAATTCCACGCTGGTACCCTCCACCATCGAGTCCACTCCCGAATTTAAGATAGTACTCTCTCCCTTAGGTGACTCAAACCAGATCCAGGAACAAACCCGTCCATTTCGACAATTATATTAATGCAGATACATATTATGCTGGCTCCCTTTTTCGGAGTCGAGTCCCCGTCAAATAATGTCACTGCCTCGTTTCTCACTCGCAACCTAATCTCCTGCAATTCGGTCGGGCGTATTTTTTTCCGATTTTGTCGGCTGTTAGTCGAGTGTTATTTTAAATTGTTTGTGATTGGTTAATCATCCACGTTCAGAACCAGATAGGTTTGCAGGCACCGACTGACGACTGTGTATCGGACTCAGTGGGGCCCACGCGTATAAATTCTCATCAAAGCTGATTGCCACGCACAATCGGTAAATTTTTTCGTGTAATTTACGCTGTTTGGAAAGTTAATCTCATTAGTTTTTACGACGGTGAATTACTAAGACACCGCTAACATCATATGCTGATGTTGACTGCCTGACAGTGATAATCCGGCTGTTTTGTCATATTTCAAAGTCCTTGACGACCAAATATTCTACATTTAGTGCTTTTGTCCAAAAATGTCCGTCCGGTTTGCATCATTATACCTTCAATGATACCTCTTTTTTTCATTTCCTAAATCAGTAACTCTTTCTAGAATGTACGAATTCAATTTAGGAGTAATAAGTAAGTGTAGGAGATAAATGAGTCGGCTTGGCGGAAGAAAGTTTTCCATTTAACAGTGTAAACTAGTCATCCGGTACTTTATAGCGGTGCTAAGAATATTTTCTGGTTAAGGCTACGGTACCGACGAATAACGTTTTATTTAAACTCCCTTTACGGGAGTCTATTGATATTGAAAATCCACAGAAAATCCAAAAATAAATGAACTACAGATCAAAGACTCCAAAAGAATTAAAAATTCCTTCATGACTTTGAGTCTCAAACCTCGGAGTTGATTTCGTCCCATCGAGAAATATACGCCTTTTTAAGTTTTTGTTTTTGTTTTTATTGCGTATGGCACACTATCTCCATTGAAAAATGCATAAGAAACTAATTTCTAAGGAACAATGCCACCTAACAGACAGTTTTGGCGAAAATGAGTAAACGACTTTGTCGCATTCTTCAGTATTAAAAAAGCAAGCTGATGTTTTTAGTTTTTTTTTTCCACTTTCGCATGGGAGCAATGTGAAGAAGCTGTAATGCATCCAGAAAATTGCAAATCTAAACTCAAAAGTTCAAAAAGTTTCTTCTTTATGCTCTGCAAAATTGTCGGTTTGCAGGTAGGCGGCGTCATTTCTTAGCCATCGATATAGGTACAGAAGGCACCTCATTGACTCCTGAAAGATTGTTGCAAGCACACGAGTTAGACTTGTTGCATCACTCATTTATGTAGGCGACTATATTGGACTTTTAATGATTTGTTTTTTATGATATTAAATATGATATAATTTAATATTATATCTTAGAGAGTTAACTTTTGAAAAAATGTTTAATAGATTATTTATTTATCCAGAAACAAAATAATTCTAACATTCATACATACATAAGAAAAACACCAAAATCTTATTCACAGCACTTTGTACAAAGTCATTCAATTTTTTAGAAAAAAAGTCAACATATTTACATCATTAAATAAATGCAATGTTTTCAGAAACACATTTTCCAAAAGTATCATTTGAATAAGGCATAAGTTTTTCGATTCTTCAATTTAGTTAATAACAGAGTTCCCTCCTTTCATGAACTTTCTGAGGTAATTTCGAAGAGACAATAAATTTCCTAGAGAAAATTCTTGAATCTCCTCGCAAAATTCGAGGAAAATCTAGAATTATTATGGTATATGGATTTCCCTTGAGGTCATATTCCACGTACCTCAATATGGCGTTGTGTACCAATCCATGTGAATAACATTTTATTCAATTCTTAATGGAAGTAGGAACCGTTTAAATAATGCTTTGAAGTGAATATTGCACAGTAATCGTTTTACATAGACTCGTTTCATATAAGAGGGTTCTCTCAGTTTTATCACTAGATTTACTGCATTCAAGAGTCATTTCTTTAATTAATTACACCACCGATCTTTACGATGATACATGTAAAAACGTATGACGCTCGCGTCGGTAAATGTGCAAAAAATGTGCTCGGTAATTGTACCAACCCTTTACAAATGGACGAAAGTATTTTTCCCCAGTTCCAAGTAGTCGATTCAAAAATAGTCTTATCGGATGGGATCTCTTCGTTTACTTTAAAAAAAAAGTATTTCCAGGTGTTGGAGTGGGTCCCTCCAGATATAGGCGACGAAGAGGGCGTCCAGCCAAACGGTGGGTAGAAGGCATTCGAGAAGAGACGGAGAGATGTCAGCATCCGGAGGATCTCAACCATGACAGATTCTTGTGGCGAGCAGGCGTCGCAGAGCGCCCTAGCGCGCCGTGAAAGCGACTCATACACACACAAGTATTTGCAACATCTAAAAAATCCTGGACTTGGATTTCTTTTTACCAGGGATAGGAATCCAAGAACCCTGAGGACTAGAATAATTAGAACCACTCTTGGCGGGTCTCTGAAGGACCGGCGAGGAAGGACAACTCTTGCTGTTGGTCGGCTGCGGTGGAGGCTGGACGTTGACGGCGAGACTCTGTCGACAGAGCGCGGAAACGGTGTCCAACTGGCCGAGCTCCGGCTCTTTATGACGCCGCATCTTCACTTTCCGGAACTTGGAGGCGATGCTCGAGAAGGCGGATTTGCTTTGCTTGGCGCTGCTGGCAGTGCTCGACGAATCCTTCTGAGCGTCCGCCTCGTTGAAATCCGACGTGAGCATCCCTGCACTCGCAGACTTGATCAGGGCCGAGCGATCGATCCCCAGCGACCTGTGATCATCGCCCAGGGTCACAAGCGAAGAATCGTCGCCGCAGCTGGACTCGCTGCCGTAGCTTTGACGACTGGCAGCATCCCTGCGATGGTGGTAGTCATCTCTGACCAGATCACACTCGGAGGAAACGGAGAGTGAGGGAGTGTTGGAGGAAGTGCCGCACTCACTCGTGGCCTGGCTCTCAGCGCTGGCAATGGCACCCCGCGACAAAAACTCTTCTTTGGCTTTCTGGAGCTTCATGGCGCGGGAGGAGCTCCGATGCAGCTCGTGGTGCCGGGACGAAGGCATCATACCTACAGTCTTGGAATGGGAGAGAGTCAACTTGATGGCCGGCACGGGGGACTCGTTTTCACTCTGGGATACCGTCCTTTGCGGCTTCTCCCTCGGCGTCTCACCCTGAGATTCCGCCTCAAAATTGATGAGGTACTGCCGCATTGCACCTTCGCTGGACGATTTCGGCACTGAGATATCCTTGCGTTCCTCCTCGGGTTTCTTGCGCTGCTTTGACGTTGCTTCCTCTGAGAAGTCGTCTTTGAACTCGATGGCCCCCGCACTGGCAGACTTCTTCATCTCGAAGGGGTTGTTGTGCCTGGCTAACCTACCGATACCCTCCTGGTAGCCCTCCACTTGCGTGAGAACTCGCCTCTCGGCAATGGGCGACCGCCAGCCGGGAGAAATCGTCCCCGACTTGGTGTCGTTCTTGACTCCCGACCCACTGACTTTTAAATTGTATTTGGCGATCATCATCCTGATGCTCGGAGCGGCCTCTTTCGAGTTCTTGAGCTCTCGTCGGCTGGAGATGGGCGACATGGGTGGGAACCCGATGTCTCTGTTCCCCCCGGACAGGTTCTCGTTCCTCACCGAGTCTTGTTCGGAGAACCTCCTCTCCGTTCTAGTCTGGGAAGGATCGTACTTTCTAGGCTCCGACCTATCAGGGCTGGCCTTTCTCTGGAATGCAGGAGATGCTGGTTGGGATTTGGCTTCGTGCAAACTCCAACACGGCGGAATGACTTCTGATCTGGACTTGTCATCGGCGGTATCCTGAGGGGGGTTCTCTCGAATCTCGTAGCTGATAACCGACTCTGTGTTGCCGTTGCTGTCCTTCACCAAAGGCGAGAAGATCTTCCGCTTGGTGGGCACGAAAACACTGGCCATCGAGTTACAGTTGGAGCCTTCGACGCAGCTATCGTCTAACATGGATGGATCGAACTGCCCGACGAAGGTATCGTTGTTGTTGTTATTGTCTGCGGTGCTGGTATCGGTGTTCTTTCTGCTCCAACTCGGCGGAGAAGAGGCTGGGACTTTGACGGACTCGTCATCTCTGCAGAGCTTGCTGAGGTCCATTTCGCGTCTGGACTTGACCACCCGTCTCTCCCGTTTCAGCCGCGTCGAGGTCTCAGACTTGGACCTGGATGCTCCGATCTCCTCGCAGCTCCGGCTGCTTTCTACCCCAGTGCCCACTGCGTCCTCTTTCCCCTGCGATGGTTTCCTTTTGAAGGATTTTGTCCGCATTAGCTTCTTCCTCGAGGCGGGAGCCTTCGTGGAGGCCTTCGCTTCGGCGTCGTCCTGGTCCCGGGACGGCGGTCGATCCGTCTCGTCGTCCGCTGCGCCGGCGTCGTGATCCTCCAATCGCGGCCGCGGAAGGCTGATCACTGCCTCCGTCACCGGCGAATCCAAGCCCGCCGTCCACGTGAAGCTCTCGCCTGACCCCGCCTCCTGCGTCGTGTCGCTTTTCTTTCTTCGCAAGAATTTTACCGTGACGCTGGGAACTTCGTCCGCAGTGCTTGCGGACAGAGCAGATTTGTCTGCAACACAGTTTTAACGAATATTTAGAATATATTTAGGTCGTATATATGGACGTATTTATGCTAAAAAGAGCTGTGCTACAATTGCTACACGCAAACCCTATGCACCTAGTTCCTTTTAGCATAAATACGTTCATATGAAGCTCACGCTGAGTAAATTTACGCACTTTTGGACTGCGACTAAAGATCCGTCATCTTGATTCTTGCACTTGTTGAAAAAAAAATGTATGCGTCCTTATTTTTATCAAGGAGGAAATTCATGTTACTTAGGCATCCTTTTAACAGTGTATCATGCTCTGAAAATCTCCCTCATTCTACATTGCATCTCTATTTGGTCGAATCGCAATGAAAATCAAATTGAAAAGATATTTGAAGTGCAACAAATGGCAGTGAGAGCTATTTGGCTCATTTTTGTATTTTCAAACTGGAAATAAGAGATTCATGCAAAGACAGTTTTTTAAAATTATTTTCTGCTCACAGTCCTTGCATTACTTTTCTAGAGATATGTAAAAATATCCACGAATATAATACCAAGAAAAAAATATAATTGCTCTCAAATTTTATAATATATATATGCAGACAGGAGGAAAATGAACCATGAATTGCCTGAAAATCTGAGAAAAGTTGCGAATCAAAAAGGTATCGATAAAAATCTCAATATTTTATTATATATATTATTTTTTATTATATTTTCATAATATTTTATATAATATCAATATTTTATATTATATTTACGGTTACCTCATTCAGCCAAGAAATGCATTGATGAAGGCTGAGCCACTTAATATGACATGTATGTATAATATCGTTTTCTGTATCGCGAGCCTTCGCAAAAATTTTGGACTGAATGTTATTTTTCCAATTGAAATTTTTTGGAGGGACAATCACAGAGAACTCACATCTTATCTCTTGGATGAAGTAAAATTGAAAATTTACGCAATTTGAGCAATGCCTAATAAGGATTTCATTTTCCCCTGTGAAAAGTACTCATCATCATCTGAAGCAAGAACACCCTATGTGAAAGTATTCTGTTAGATTTCGTTTTAATAATTATTAGGGGCCTTTCCTCCTGGATTTTATAAATTTTCTCAATCTTACCTGTGAAACTTTCGTAAGCATTTAATGCTTGCTTCAGTTCCATTACTTTCTTAGTTAACTGGAATGGTAGTTGAATCATTTCATTTGATGCAGTCTCTAAGTCATTCCCCTCTAATTTGCTTCCCATCACTGTTTGAAGTCTCTCAGCCTGTAAAAAAGAAATAAAATAAAGCATGATGCGGTTTGATAACTAATGGGAAAAATTGGTAGGAGGAGAGGGTGGCTGAAGTTGATTTAGCATAAATAAATCCGTAAACTTCTACCATTTGTCAGCACACAAGGTATGTTTTGAAGTTGTGAAGTTTGTATTTTATTAGAGTTGTTTCAAGGAGAAAAAAGGACCAGATTTCCTGTTCAACCACCATATATTGATGGGCAAAGTGCGAAACAACGTTCCTCCTTTGTGATGTTTCAAAATTTCAGTTCCTATTTTATTACTTAGGAAAAACTGGTCAACTTTTTACCTTGAAAGTTTCACGGAGCCAGGGGTAAGCCCCTTGATCGCTTTGCGGTCCAGCTCCTCCGAAGCGCTTTGCGCCTCAGGTGTCACACCTTATGAGTTATTTTTATGATTTATATTGTATTATAGAGTAAGATATTTTAGAGGTTTTCGATTGGGTTCCTCCCAGGCGACGGCGTGGACGTCCTGTGAAAGGTTCGCGACAAGGGGTGGAGGAGGAGATCAGAAGGTGCCAATTGCCTGATGATCTCTGGGAGGATAGGGGGCAATGGCGATTGGGCGTCGCAGAGCGCAAGGCTGCGCTATAAAAGCGGCTCTATGTATGTATGTAAGTATGTAAGATATTTTAGTATCAGCGAGGAAAATTTAAGGAAGTTTTCAAGAAAATACGGTCACAAGTTTTCCGAAGGAAAAATATAGTGTAAAAGGACGTTTGCAGCGTTGTAATCGTAGGTACGTGGTTTCGCAATTCATAGGTTTTCTTCACCTCAGCTAAGTACATTAATATTTAGTACACTAATGAATGATAATGCAATCAAAGTTATTGGTTTGCCACTCCAATCGTACAAATGTCAAATTTATCCGCTTGATTTTTTTTCTTCCTCTCTTTTTTCTGAAATATTTCTTATTTTCTTCCGAATTCGTCGCAATTCGACAAGATTTATTCCACAATGTACACTCACCATTTGGAGAAGCTGAGATGACAGAGCTTGCACTGACGCGAAGTCTTTAATCTGATTCGGTTCTTGTGAGTTCCTGTCGCTGTGTATGAGCTGCAATCTTTTCACAGTGCCGACTAAATCTTGTGCTATGGCAGCTTGCTGCTCATTTCTGTTAGACAGGTCAGTCTGGAAGAAAGATTTTTGACATTTCAAAACATTTTGTGAAGACCAAGAGCGACGAGACGGTCCTCTCACAAGTATAGGGCCATTTATTTAAGACATATTTTATACATATTTTACATATTTTTACATATTTTAGACATATTTAAGACATATTTAAGACATCTTGTAGCTTAAATATCTTTATAGGTAGGAGGAGGAAAAAGAAAATGTTGAAAAACTGATTCGTTCGCACGCCACTATTTGTTGAGATCGGACGAACATATCTGCATGAGCGATTAAAAACCATCAAAATTCCACGAGATAGTAATTTTTGTTAACACAGAACAACCAATGGTGCGGTATACAACTGGAAGCAAAAGGAACATATCCGGAGATAAAAGGTATAATGGTTTTATTATTAACTCCTTGAGCGATATTAATGAATAAATTTTAATCTGTAATGAGAAGTCAGTGACTTCTCTCATTATTGCTAAATTCTGCGTCCACATTTTTTTTCTTGTGAAAAGAAGGTACATACGAACTTTATATGACTCCCAGAGGAATAATTAAAATTGTGAATATTAGTAAATGAGGATCAGCGGCTAGGTCGACAAGGAAGGGTATAGATTCATTCGACATGAACCGATCAACACCGGTTCGATCAACTTATATTTAAAAGAACGGTGTCGATTCGATCGAAAAATAAAAACGTAAACCAATCGAAGTGATTCGATCGACTCCGATTTGATCGACAACAGTGCATCGATCGACAGCTCCTTGAATCGATCGACAGCTTTATGAATCGATCGAACTCCGTGAATCGACCGAAAGCTCCATCGACAGCTCCGTGAATCAATTTAATTATGTCGATCTTTGTGTCGATCGAATCATCTCGATCGATTCACAAGTTTATTTTTCGATGGATTCATGTCGATCGAATCGATACCGGTTTTCTATAATAATTAGTCGATCGACTCACGGTTTTATTCATCCATTGATTCATGTCGATCGAATCCATACCCTTCGTCAACAAGGCCATAAGACAATGGTTTACGATGCCGAAAATGGTATACCCATTAGAGACACACAATTCACAGATTTACGTATTGCACTAACGTTCAGCAACCTGTTGGTCAACTTATTCTTACCTGTAAATTTTCATTTTCTTGTCGCAATAATTCATGATGCCGTTCCAATTCTTTTATACTTCGTTTCAGCCGAGTAATGTGCTCCTCACTCTCTTCGCTTGGAATATCGATACTTTTACTGGCTCTTTCTAAGCTATCTGTCAACAAAATCAGTAAAAATTAATTGAGGCACCGAAAATTGTCTTTGGAAACAACGAGCATACCGAACCGAACTGCTATGACCCCCGTTTTTAGAGGCATAAGGTTTTAGTCATAGGTCCTCATCGCAGTGCGTCTTACCAAGCTCCATTTTCAATAGCAGTAGAGTTCTTTCGTTGTAAAATGTTAAATTTGCATTAAACTTCACGTTTCGTTTGCTCTTTCATTTTGAAAAACTAAATCCTCGTGTTTTGTCCACTTCACCATTATAGAATTAATGTGATATATTCATTAAGTGTTGATATAATTTGTACCAACCGAGTAACAATTTTCTAACATAATTTGCCTGTAGTTTTGAATAAGTTGGCCCAGAAAAATCCTCCAAAATATATCTGATGCCTCTCCAGAAAAAGTAAAATATGAGAGAGGATTTCAATTCACTGTAACGAAAATACATTTTGTGTACAGTGGAACAATCTTGATTTTTTTGTCCGTACGGAACTTCTTCGAAATGCCTGAAAAAAAATTTGCTACATGTTATCCATGCTGGTAATCTTTTCCCCAGGATTATCAAGAGGAATACAAACTCATAAGGTACTTTATATGTCTTGTTAAACAAGCACTGTAATACCTCGCGAGACGCGTGATTTGGGAGTTTCACTGTCAACCAGTGGCGTGGCGTGAATTGCGATGTATCGATTGTTCTACCATTTAAACCTATGGCAAAGAATCGATTATTAAGGTGTTCGCTGCAAACACCCTGTTTATCGATCCTTTTCCATGGGTTTAAATGGCATAACAATCAATATATCGCAAAGCACGCCACGCCACTGCTGTCAACATCTCACTGGATCCACTGCATAAGTAGGCACCTGAATATTAGTAATTGGGATCAATGGCAATGCTTTTAACATGATAACTTATCATAAGTTGTAAATTTTACCTGTTTGTTCCTCTTTGCTCCTCAAAACTAAGTTCATTTGCTCGTTCACATTTTCCATTTCATCTTCCAATTTTCTGCAAAATAAATAAAAAAATAGGATTTTCGGTGAGTAAGCAGAGGAAAATGTTTAAGATTTTTTTTTTTTTCGTTTTTGCCTTCTAAAATACTAATGTAAAACATTTCGTAACATGCTCGATTTTTGGTAATTGCCTCATTGAAAAAATTTAATTTCGGTCATAGTTTTCATAAAAGTCGTCAAAGCACAGTGACTCGGATTGATCTATGTATAATCTCTTTGACATTTAAGTCATGCTCAGCTTTAAAAATGAATGCCAGGAACGTGCTTTCATTCCAGAAAAGTATTCTCTGCGTGATTAAAGGAAGATAAAATGTTTTTCTTGCTGTGCGCATCACAGCAATTTGATTCTTTTTCCCCAGGTAAAACTTAGACACCCAATACCTAGTCCACAGCTTGCGAATCGTGACTTTTAATTTCACTATAATGTCCGTGGCTCCACGATTTCTAGTATACCTTTGTGATGGTGTCCAATGAAGAGAACCTATGGAAACTTTAACTGTTCATTCCAGTGAGTTTGTAGGTTTTGGTCTTCAATGGGTTTTCAGTTTTCAATGCTAACGCTGTATATTACTCTTGAAGACATCGAGTCAAAATTTCAAGCTAAAATTCGCAATCACTATTAATAACAATATTATGATCATTCAAATGATATCATATATAAAGTTTGCAACAACGTCGAAACGCTTAATCTTTTTTGTTCTCAAATTCAGGGCCGGATTTAGGGGGTAGCCACATGGGCCGCGGCCCATGACGGCAAATTTAGGGGGCGGCAAATGTTGTAATTTTTTCAAATGTAGGTATCAAGACAAAAATCTGATTCAGAAAAAAAATTACAAACGAGAAAAGGCGAAAAAATCTCTCATTTCCTGAGAGTTTAAGTATAGTAATTTCTAATTGGACGTATTTCTATCAAACAGACCTACGTGTAGGTGAGAAATATGGGGTGTGCTCGTCGAAGCTGCATAAGAAGCAATGTGAAAGTGGGCGTGATTCCTTTTGAAGAATTGGAAAAGCGGGATATTACATTCTATCAAACAGACCTATGTGCCATCTGAATGCGGGACTCATGAGCCGCGGGCATGGCAAGAGAGCGTTGTGAACAGGGCTCATGAGTTAAAGCGCCCCGACGACGATCTCCCCGTTGCGCGCGCGCTCCCTCATTGCCGCTGACGTCACTGGCGCTTTATCATTCTCATTCACTCTTGCGGCCAGAGAACTGACGAGCACACCCCATATTTCTCACTTCCACATAGGTCTGTTTGGTAGAAATACGTCCAATTTGTTCTCTTTTTGTGATACAAGAGACAGCACCTTTGATTAATCTAGTTGAGAGAAAAACGAAACACACAATTTGGCCCGGAGCGGCGCGGCGCAGAGAGTAATAATGACGAAGACTTGAGATGGAAAGGAGAAAGCCCTCTGCGCGCCGCGCCGGTCAGCATGTAACACAGATTAGCGCCTACGAGACTCCATGAATACTTCACGCATTGCGTCAAACGTAGTGCGGTCAGCAGCGCAGCGGTTGGCGTGAAACTCATAGTGCCTACAAGACTGCATGAATACTTCACGCATTGCGTCAAAAAAAGTGCGGTCAGCAGCGGTCGGCGTGAAACGCATAGCGCCTACAGGACTGTAGAGATACTGCGCCGAACACAGTGCGGTCTGCGCAGCGCAGCGGTGGAAGTTAAAATCATTACCGCATTTATGTTTATTCTTCCATAATTTTTTCGTTCTTTTCTTATAAATGAAAGGCCTTGTCCACACAGAGATAGGTTTACGGAACTTAATTTTCGCGCAAAGTGCCGTGAACTTTTGCTAGTGTTGACGGGGCTGTCACAAAAAATGTGCCCAACACAAGGAAACGCGTCTTAAGCACCCCTCCTCCTCCGGCACGTTCATTTGATGGTTTTCATTGATGCTTCAAAACGAATGAGAAGGGGGCGGCAAAATACAGGCGGCCAATGGGCGGCAAGTAGGTAAATCCGGCTCTGCTCAAATTCGCAATTTATATCCTTCGAAAACTTTGACTAACTTTCAAAGAGTGAATCAAATGATTTTTTGCTACTCTTTGCGTCAAATGATGCAGTATTGACTCCTTTAAGTTCAAGTTCAGACGTCTCGTTTGTTGGTTCTTTTCCCTCACTCTAATTTCTGTTTTTTCCCTGACTTCGTCTCAATCACATATGTTTTCTGCCTTTAATATTACCACTTTTGATGGTGTAAAATAATTAAGAATTTTTCAGTAGATGCAGAATGAAAAATTTTAATGGACATATTACCGACAAATTCCTTGCTCTGACTCAAACTGTCCCAGTAGATCGATATTTCTTTCCAACAAAAACTGACTTGCTTTTTGTGGCGAATCTTCATCTTCACTGGCGTTTTCATGATCAAATGTCCTGTTTTTGGAGGGAACAAAAAAAAAATTAAAGCACGTTAGCAAAATTCACTCCAAACCTTCTTAAGCATGCTTTTTTTTTCTTTGTTGCCGGCAATTAGGGTTGTCCAAAAATGGACGCAAGAAAACCTCATTTAAATTGAGAGACAATCTCACGAACTGTTAAAAAATCACCTTGAGTATGATTTCAATCGATTCAAAGCGTTTACTGTTGCAAAGCAAACAGAAAAATAAGAAAAAAATAAATGCTTGAGAGCTATTGATATCATACGCAAGAAGAAGTTTGCAAGATTGTCTGATGAATTCGGCTAGGTTTTTTCTCGTGTCTTTTGTGGCAAACCTGGGCGCCGAAGGCTGAGAGAAACTGCCTGCGGGTGGTAGAAATTTGAAAAAGCTTGTCCGTCCAGTAAATCTTCTTACCCTGGATTAATTAGCACAAACTTATCCTTTAGTGAGTAGGGCCTCTAGGGTCCCAATGAGAGGAGATTCCTTCAGAGATGCCCAAACGTTTCTTTGAAAAAGTATTCAATATCCGATTGAAAATTTTGCAACGTTGAAATATAGTTACGTTCTTTTGTCTGGAAATCGATGGAATTGATGGCATTTCTGACGGATCTGCATGTTTCCTTTCAACAGGACCGTTTAGAACGGCTTACAGCTACCAAAATGATTATTGAAAGTGATAAACGAAACAATAGACATAGATGACAAAGGGGAAAAGGAGCTATCATATTCGTTGAATCAGGTGGTTTTTATGGACTAATGGGAGAAATGATTGACCGACTATGGGGTCCCTTATGAGTTGCTTTTAGTTAGTCTATTACTTACCCTTTCTTTTTCCATTGCAGCCAGTCGCTTCCACCATTAGAATTTCTCCAGTTTCTCTTTGTATCCTTTGTCTATTACTTTGTACATCAATTTTGTTAGTGAGCCCACGTAAGGATCAGCTTCCACCATTAGAATTTCTCCATTTTCTCTTTGTATCCTTTGTCTATTGCTTTGTTTACCAATTTTTACAGTCAACCTCCGTAAAGATCAGGGGCTCACGTTTGTCCATGAATATTTTTTTAGACATAATGTCAGCCCTTACCTGTAGCTGAGGGAGGTAATTTCTCTCGGGACATTGGTATATCGATAGATAGGCGTGTGAGCTACAGCGATAGGGCTATTGGACAAGGCAGAAGCCGTCTCCTCGACAACATCTTCTACCTCGACAATTAGCGCCTCGGGCATTTCATCTTCCCCGGAGTCTGTCATAGCGCCATCATCTGCAAGAAGACGTCATCAAGATGGCATTTTTAAACGCACATTTTTCAATTAAGGTGCGGCAAAAATAGTTATCATCGTTACTATCAGGGCACTGAGCCCCTGAATGTCCATTCTTTGTCACAGTTCGTCCTATCGTTCTGCGGGGCCGATTTCCATGAGTTTTGCGATTATCGATTACAGGGTATAGTCCCTAGATGTGCCCACAGTCCTGCTATATTTTTATATTTTGGATTTATGACCCATAGGTCTTTGCATCGGAACTATATTTCATAGTGTTCGTTAGTCAAAGAGCCTCCCAAAATTTAGCCCCTTTTTAGGTATTCAATTCGACCATCAGACCAAGAATTGAATGGAGCCTTATAAAAACTCAGGAAAAAATTTCGAGATGAGTATAAAAACAAATTTCGAGGTTGGGGGGGGGGGCAAAGGGCTCATCCCGCCTGGCAAAATCCGGCCATTTTTTGCTGTTTTATTGTTGAATTGATGTATCTGCGGGGTTCCTATCGTTGTTTAAACATGTTGGACACACCGGTCCCTACGTATTTTTACACACAAAATCGATTTTTAACGTTGACGAGTCGATATTTCAATCGGTTTTATGGATTTTTAGAGATTCTTCACGGAAAATCAATGAATTTTCGATATTGATTTTTTTTTTTTCTTTTTTTTTGTAGACAGAAATTTTGAATATGACGGATTGAAGTTCCTTGTGAGCTTACCCGGAAGTTCTGAGCCGGAGAGATCGTCCATATCATTGAGAGATAAACTGGAAGGCTGGTGAGTCATCATGCCAGGCTGAACAGGGTCCGCCGAAGACAAATCAGTAACACTGCCCATGGACCGGGATCTCGGCAGATTTCCCTCTGCAAACATTCACCCATCAAACGTTTAAATCCGTGCAAAATAATATAAGAGAGCATTGGTGGTTCGTTTTACGCTTATCGTGCGTTGCAGAAACATTAATCTAGAAAGATTGGAGGTGCACGATACGATATGCGAGTTTTAAATTGCCGCGAGTAATGACAGAAAGCAAAATAAGTTTATTATAGATAGAAAGGAGTTAAAAGGCATTTTTTAAAAATTGATATATCACCTAACTCAAGTTAACCTCACCTCACAGTAATTTAAAAAAAAAAAAAAATTTGAATACTTGAGCTCAATTTAACACCACAATACCTGATAGCGGAGTTTTTTTTTTTAATCTTTTTTCACAGAAAGAGCCGTTGCTGTAAAATCAGAAATACTTTGTTAAAGAGATAATCTCTACGCCCAACCACACAAGGATTGCATTTAGCATAAAAGAACCAGCGTAAGTACAGTGTTGTAAAAATGTCGCTTCTTTTTAATTATCTAAAAAAATCTCCCAGAATAGCAAATGGTTTTTCCTTCCCACCAAAAAATGTTTAATTTTGAAGGAAAATTATTGTGTAAGTTTTAATACTGTACATATATTGAATATTTTTAAAAGGAAAGAAGAAGTTGCACGATTTTGAAAACACTGTAATCGCGCTGGTTCGTTTTTGCTGAATGCAATCCACATCATACTTAATCGGAATGTCCCTGAAGTCTAAAAAGCCAAAAATACAATTTTGCGAGACATTAAATGAAATACCCATGAGATCCAACGAACACCTTGAAGTTGAATCAATATGGATTGTGGAATCTACAGAAAATCTTGGACATACAAATTGTTTTTTTACCCTGTTCCCGGTATTAACTTAAGATCCATTTCCCGCGTTGACCCTCTCGATGGCCCCTTCTGTCCTCCTCACAAAAGGGTCAAAGTTCCTAGACTGCGAAGCTCTCCTCAGGTGCGAAATTATCGACATCCATTCAATTCGACTAACGTCTTGAAATTATTGATTATTTAATTACAATGTTTATGGATGGCTCGTGTAATGGATCCTGAGGTCAAGCTGAAAAAAATGAGAAGTTGACTGACCTCCCTCTTTGTTCATGGCGTTCCTTTTGATGGCAGGCCTGTAACCCGGCTGAAGGAGAGCAAAAGTTGAAGCTTCTGGTCGGATCCCACGGGCGTTTTCCCACTCATACAGCTTCCGCGTGAACTTTTGCGATATCCCCTGAAATCTCACCAGCCCTGTTGACGTCGGCACGAGCACTTCCTTCTTCTTTATATCGATCCCAATGGCAGTTTTCATCTTCTCCAACCTGGGGAACCAAGTATAAAAGCTTAAATCATCTTACGCATATTTTCAACCATATCACATTCTATTCAATTTTGAAAAAGGTCCAGTTGATTTTCCTGCTTATTCCAAAAATAAAGTGATCCTACTGGTGGAAGCGGGCCGTTGCAATAGACAAAGGAAGTAATAGACAAACTCACAGCAACCCACGAGAGATCTTATAGCTGTCCATCATTTCTCCCCCTATTCTTAGTTTACAACAATATAACCTCGACGGATGTCCGTATTGCGTTCAAAAAATTGAAGGCGTTTTGACTCCCTGCTCATACTACCTGTAGTTGATTCGATGGACAAACGCGTTGGTCGGCGGTGACGGGGACTTGATGCAACTTTTTAAACTTGATGGCTGTCCGTATCGCACCGACTGAAGTGCGAAACCATGTATCTTCATTGCGGTGTTTCGAAATTTCCGCTCCTAATTCATCTCTTCCATGAGAAACAATCCAAATTTACGACTCTAAATTTTGAACCAAATCATCTGCTATCGAATACGAAAAATCATGGAGAATTTAAGTTTTATGTTGACCAGCTTCTCGAAAGAGTAATAAAACTTCTAAGGAAGTCTGCAACGTCGCTAATGGAGAAACGCCGTCTCTCATTTTGCCCGAAAATATGTATGCATAAAATTGAAGGCATTATGACTGGCCTCTCTCAACTTATATTCGTCTGTAACGATAAACAATGGGACGCGTTCGCTACGGCGCCTTGATACAACTATACAACCTCGACTGATGTCCGTATTGCGTTCAAAAAATTGAAGGCGTTTTGACTCCCTGCTCATTTTACTCATCTCATGATTTTGAAATGTTTGCACTGTATGGATTATTCTCGTTTTAATTGATGAAAAAAAATATGTATGAAAGGAAAATTTAAAGTGTGTTTTGTAAATATTAAGGCGGTTCGTATCAAACTTTATGATTTCCAAAGCACACGAATTTCTACACAATTTCTTATAGCCTTTTATAATCGATGGCAAAAAAGCAACAGCCAGGCAATAATATGTAAAACCCGGCTATAGGAACTATAGCCCGACTGCATAATTTTTCATCGCTTCGTATAGCCCGGCCGTATGATTTTCTCCGCATTCTACAGCCAGCTATATGATTTTCTGTTGTCTTCTTTAGCCGGCTATAAGAATTCCTATGGTATTTTGAAACGCAGCTCTTATCGCCAATTTTTACCAGGGTAAGTAGTATGGAGCGGGCCCATTGGTTGAAATGGGTGGCTCTTGAGGGTAAATGAACCGCGTTTAGCAGAAAGGGACCAAGCCACATCAGCTATTGCCAAATTTAATTGGATAATTTACTTTTTTACAAGAGAACGTTCATACGCATTCCTTTGAATATGTCTATGAGTTTCATTCTATCTACGTAGAAAATTTACTGAAATATGCACAAAAATCCTCACAACCGTTTTCATGTAAAAATTAAATTGCCCAATTAAAGTTGGCAATAGCTGATGTGGCTCGGTTCCTTTCTGCTTAACGCGGTCCAAATGATGGACTAAGAATCGGGTCTCTCGTGGGTTGTCGTCAGTTTGTCTTTTACCTGCGTCCTCTGTCTATAGGAACCACCCGCTTCCACCAATATGATCCCTCCATATCCTTTTTCTCTTCCTTGTCTATTGCTGTGTCTATCAATTTCAAGAATGAGCCCGGAGTGTGGAGTTACCTATAGGAACCACCCGCTTGCACCAATATGATCTCTCCATATCCTTTTTCTCTTCCTTGTCTATTGCCGTGTCTATCAATTTCAAGAATGAGCCCGGAGTGCGGAGTTACCTGGCTAGCCGTTCCTCGTACTTCTCCTTCTCCCTCTCGAGGCGCTGCTTCTCCCTCTCGATCTTGGTGAGTTCCTTCTCGAGCCAGGCGAGTTCCTTGACGCCTTGATGGTGGCTCTTGCCCGGGAAGTGGGTCCTGACGTAGGAGTAGCGGATGTCGTCCCTCTTGCGCCCCCCGGTCCCGGGGGCGGTCGGCGACGGCGAGGGGGTCGTGCTCCCGCTGTCGCTCGAGCGGACCCGCCCGAACCCGCGCTTCTTCTTCTCCGTCAGCAGCTCCAGCTCCTTCCGACTCAGCTTCGGGCTGCTCACCCGGTACTCGTCCAGGCCCCGCAGGTAGTCCTCCTGCAACTGCTCCGAGGAAGAGCTCGACGTGTGCGGCGCTCCGCTCCCCTCCAATTTCGAACCGCCTGCAAAAATCCCACCCAATTTCACTTAATCCTATTTAGTACGGTGGGTACGATCGAGAGACAAGAGACCCTCCACTTGGCCATGGTGGAAGCTTTTACTTTCGGGACTTCAGCATTCTACTGTTGACTTACCTACATGGTTGATGTTCAACAACGTGTTGGCAGTTTCGTTTTGCAAACAAGCCGAAAATGGCCGACGTTTGGGAAAGTTGTTTGGCTCATGACGTCATCCGAAGCTCATCATCGACCATGTAGGTAAGTCAACAGCCGAAACTAGGGTGATGACTGTTGCTCCCTAATAATTGTCCATAAGGAATTGTTGAAACCCCGAAAGTAAAAGCTTCCACCTGTCGCTAGGAGGCCAGTGGAGGGTCTCTTGTCTCTGGGTACGATCGAATAATGGCCAAAACCCTGCACTTTTTAATTTTTTTTTTTTTTTTTTTTTTTGAGAGTTTTGTGGCTTCTATTCCATTTGTTCTAAATTTTTAGGAATCTACAGCCATCTTTAGACGCTATTTATTGTCCTTAGACATCAGGGAGTTTGGTAGACATCCATGCTCGGACTTACAAATTTTCACGGATTAAGGCCGAGTGAATTCCACTTGCAGATCCACTCGTCAGTTCCACGGAAATTTGTCGCCATTTAGGCTAGCAAATTTCCAGGGATTAAGGCCGAGCGAATTCTGCTTGCAGATCCACTCGTCAGTTCCATGAAAATTTGTCGCCACCACCGGGATTCGAACCCGGGACCTATTGACCTAGAGTCAGACGCGCTGACCACTAGGCCAACCTGGCTGGCTCACTTTTAATTTAAAATATCTGAAAGTCTCAAGGAAAAATATGCATGAATTTCGTTAAAAACACATGTTTTATCGAAGAAAATTTGACAACTCTCGAACGTTCATACGGTTCTTTTCCTTAGCACGACAGAACTATTCGCACTCCCAGGTATGTTTGTTGTCTATGCAACGAAATTGAAGGCGACTCGGTGTCCCGAGGACTTTTAGACCGTAACATGTTCTGTCGGTTGCATAGCCGACAGAACTTTTTTCCTTCGTTGATTACGCGTACCGACGGAACATTTTACGGTCCAACAGTCTCAGTGATGATAATTTTTAAAATTGCTTGCGTGAGTCTTGTACATGTTTAGGGAGAAGGCAATATCTAGCAGTAATTATGCTCTTTTTTTATTAATTGGACTATATTTTACAACTGGACGTTTTTATGCTAAAAGGAACTATTTTGCACAGAAATCCTATGCACATAGTTTCTATTAGCATTAATGCGTCCAATTACGAATTAAAATATCTGGCTCAGTTTAATTCCATTGATTTCCCGATGCACACAAGTGTTTCTACGAATGAGCCAGAAATTGTAGTTCCTAATTTCAAAATGCCGTCCAATTTGCTTCCTGGCGTTAGACATAATCGAAAATGAAACTGGCGACACTGCCATTCCCGTTATCGCGGCACAACCCATATCGATAGTGAAAGTGCAGAAATGCGGATCTCGGAAAACACGATTTTTTAGGAGAGTAAAAAAAACTCAAAACTGTCAAAAATCGAGACACGCACTTCTGCACTTTCACCATCGATATCTGCGTACATTAACTACTTTTTTTCCCATCATATACTATTTTTTTTTCTTTTTTTCACTGGATTATTTTTAACTGGCGATCCTACCTCCAGGCATCCAGCGCTGCCAGTCGGCGATTTTTTTGCGGAAGTGGAGTTGCCGCGAGCTCGGACTGCAAGATGTCGGCGACTCGGACGTGACATGTTTGAGTTTTTCCCACTCCTCCAGCTTCTTCTTGAACTCGGCCGAGAGGTTATCTTCGCCGAGCTGTTGGAGAGCGGCAACCTCCCTCGCTTGGCTCTGCGTAAGGTGACTCAGCTGACTTAGCTGGGCTATTTGGGAACAGGATTTCGACTCCCAGTGCTCTTTCCCGCGAGAGACCTTTGATCCTAAGTTCAGTTTAAACAAAAATCAAAGGTGAGACCAATGTGTGAGACGTGATAAATAAAATCTTGAAAGATTTCTTGAGAGCCGATTCTTGAAAGTCGGCAACACTTTTCTTGCTCCCTTTTAATGTATGTGTCGCAGGCAGTTAGTAATCGCCGGCAATTTGCAAGCTCCGTACTTGTCAATTCGTCAAATTGCAATCGCAATAACATTGATATAGTAGGGGTTTCTTAGCGAATAGATGTAAGGCACGACCTCAGCTTGGAACGCCTTCAAATCCAGCGATACTCTCCGCTTTGCCGCGGAGTTAGTTTAGTTGCTTAACCAAACCAAACCCAACGCAGATTATTGATTACATTTCACGAACTCGCGAGTGTGCTAGCTGGTACCATGCATACAAGAAGAAAGGGATAACATATGTTTGAATTCAGAGCATAATACTCACTACTTCCAATCTCGTTTTTTCACTGTAAGATTTTTTAATTTGTTGAATTAACACGAATAGATTGCAATTTGCCGGCGATTGCTGATTGCCTGCGACATATGTAAAACAGTCGATCCTTAATTTACTTGCCTCACCGAAAATCGATCTTTTTCATGGATCTAAATAGAGGAAAAATAGTGTTGCCAACTTTCAAGAATCCCCACTGACTATCACCGTCCGGGGGAAGAGAGACTGCGGCGTAAGGACAATGACGTAATCAGAAACTTTATTTGGGGAGGGAGTTGTGGTCCAAAATTGCTCATGATTGGCCTTAGGGTGGAAATTCTGAAAACTGACGAAAAATCTGGTTTTTAGTGAAATTTTCTGTAGTCTTATAGTCAGTAAAGGGGTCTAGACCCCGTGGACTCTTCTGGTTGTCCTTAATTCTGATATATCGTCGCTTGGCTGACACAAGGGCGTAACTACATTTAGAGATGAGCCAGGGAAATCATTGAGTAGTGTGGACGACAGGGGTCATCGCCAAAAGTAGTTACGTCTTTACGTCAGGAAGGCGACAATATGCCCCAGAAATGTTCATACAAATACAACAGGAATGGAGAACCATCATACTATAACAAAGGTCATTTCACCCTGTAAGAGGTTACCTCTAAACCTTTGTACGCAGCAACAAGGGCACTGAGAAATAAAGTTCGATCATATGAATGAAACATAATTACTGTGTTTTATCCGTGCATCAGCCGCACCAGTCGGTTCATTCATCTGTGTATCCGGTTAAAAAAGCCGTAACCTCAATTGGACGTATTTCTACCAAACAGACCTATGTGCAAGTAAGAAATATGGGGTGTGCTCGTCGAAGCTGCATAAGAAGCAATGTAAAAGTGGGCGTGACTCCATTTGAAGAATTGGAAAAGCAGGATTTTACATTCTATCAAACAGACCTATGTGCCAATTGAGTGCGGGATTCATGAGCCGCGGGCATGGCAAGATAGCGTTGTGGACAGGGCTCACGAGTTAAAGCGCCCCGACGACGATCTCCCCCTCGCTAGAGTGCGCACTATCACTGCCGCTGACGTCACTGGCGCTTTATTATTCCCATTCACTCTTACACAAAGAGAACTAACGAGCACACCCATATTTCTCACCTCCACATAGGTCTGTTTGGTAGAAATACGTCCAATTCATTCAACTAAGCTGTCAACCGAACCAAAAAGAACTCGTAAGAAAATGCTGCCATAAAAAGCATTCGGAACAGCGCCGTCAGGTTCATACTTGGATTTTTTAAGAGAAATCGGTGATTAGCTGAAAGGAGCTCTTGGAGGAAGGTGAAGATCGTACCTGTAAGTTCTTCCATGTTGGCGACTGTCCTTCCGGCAGTGATAGGATAATTTTGGGTGGGCCCGGAGCTCTTCAGCTGCTCCCACTCATTCAGCTTCTTGCTAAATTCAGCACTAAGTTTCATCTGGAGCTGTCTGTACGTCTTTTGAACGTCCACTCGGCTATCTTCCGGGAACACGTCATCTTTCCTTGCGTCCTCCCCTGAATCTCCACCCTCTAAATCGTCAGGTTCTAAACAGCATCAAGTCAAACAAAAGTAATGAGAAAAGTAGATTGCGCTTATTTTAAGATTTAAGACTTTACATTCTCAGATAGAATGAAAAAACTGTTACATATAGCATCGCTAATTTATTTGACAGTATTTTATGCTAATCAATGAGCAGTTTCATTCGTGATTTTTGAGTATAATCTTACAAAAGAACCTTTAAACAAATTTCCCCTCAAACGATATTGAACATTTTGAAGGTTAGAAACTGAAAGGTGAATGTGATGATTTTTTTTATGATTGCCGATTTATTACACGAAAATGATACAACGAATCTTATTGTCCGCGACTCAGGCAACCGAACTTGCTTCAAATGTAAAGCTGGTTGCATCAGAGGAAAATCGAAGGGGGTTTTGACCCGAATTAAGTTTCTATTTGTTTACTGTTGTTTTAGAGCGTAGGAGACCAGGACAAAATCCACCTTAAATGATATCAGACATATTTTGAGGTTCGGAACGGAATTGTGATCGACTTGTGTTTTTTTTTTTCCTCTCTCTCTTTCCTTCATTTTTTTGGCGTGAAACAAGAAGGCTAAATGATATACCACATAAAAAAAGAGAATTGTGATCATAAGTCGCACACACTGCTATGCGTAAAATATTGTCGTATAATAGTGGGCATTAAGTACTTTTTTCAATATTGTTACTTCTTCTTTATGCCATTTTGTCAATTTAAAAACATCATAAGTAATTCAACACCCTCCCTTCCCAAGAAGGGATGTGCTGAGTTTATCAGAGTTAATTGGTATTTTTTTTGTTTCACAGCCAAGAAGTTCACCTAGCGAAACCCAAAAAATTCCATTAATTCCGATAGGAGACCCCACTAGCCCCCCCCCCCCCCCNAGAATAGCTTATTTGCGGTATGATACCTATGGATACGATCTCTGAAATAACCATAGTAATGTACCGATTTTCTAAAAGTATGCACTATTTGCGAGCAACTGAATGAATGTTCGAACCCGATCATGAACAGAAGCGACAAGAAGAGTTTAATGCTTTCATTTTCATTTTCTTGAGGGCGGCGACATCAAAATTGACAGACGAATAATGTAAGAAAGGAATAATATCTCTCTAGTTCCATCATTGTTCGTGTTCATCGCCGTACATCTCTCGTGAACCAGTTTTATTTCCCCCTTTTACTGTCATCGATCAAATTATTTCTTTATTTACTTTCAATCTTGTAAAATTGCCAGTATTTTCTTTGGCAGGCTGGGGTATGAAAGATTGTTGTCAAATTTAATCGGAATTGTTTTCTACTCCTCTCACATATAATGCCGATTTGAAACCGAGTTCTAGTATTATATCTACGTAGTTTATTCACTTATATTTTAAAGTCAATCAAATTTGAGCTTGATCATCTGCAATAAACTTGAAAGAACATTTACTCAGCTCCTTCTTTTCTTTTCCTCTCACTTTAAGGAAATAAAGGCATCTATAAAATCGCTTTTACAGTAGTTGCCCGATTTTAATTTAATTTTTTTAAATTTAATTTTAATTTTTTAAGAAATTTCCGATTTTATAAATGTTTTGTTTAAAAATTGGGAAATTATTTTTTCGTGTTCCATTCAAAAATTTCCTATCATCGTTTCCTCGAGTATTTTACTGACATTTGCTGTTGCTTTCATCATGTCATGAGCAAAACGTAAGTTGAGCCACCGGGAGGTGGGTAAAATACCGAGTAGGTATTCCAAGTGATTGGAGACGACGGTATATCCTCAATAATTTACCTCGTACTTTCAGCTAATTTTTTTCATGATACGGTAGTAGGAAGGTATTTGGAACGTAAATATAAAATCGACATTTAGCTTGTCACATTTGCAGCCGTTAAAATGTGTATACCTTTGAAAAATGCTCCGACTCAATACGAAAAATAGAGGATATAAATCATGACAGAGGGTTTCATGTTTCTGGTTGCTCACGTGGATACTTAAAAACCCTTCAATATTGCAAGCTGCAGCCTAGTTGCACGCTCAAAATCAACCAAAAATTGAAGAAAAATAAGAAATGAATTTCAGTCCCTGTCCTATGAGGTGAACAAACACCAATGGGCGTGCATTGATAATTCAAATACCATAACCCAAAGTTTTTCAAGAAGAACAGGGGTTGCTTCAATATGGGTGAAAAGGAGGGGGGATTAAAAATAAAATACAACAAAATGATAAAAAAAAAACTGTCCAACTCTGTGAAAATGGAGAGTGGTTGAAGACAATGGATGACAATAAAGTGTACTCTGTAGAAATGGAGAATGATTGAAGACAATGGATGACAATAAAGTGGACTTGAAAAGCTTTTGACAGCAAAAATACTTCACTTCCCGACGGTCGGTGACATTGACTCTCTTGACCCGAGAGTTTAAAAATAAGCTACTGATAGCATCATAAACAATATGAATTACAAAGGATGTGAAATTCACGCCATCCAAATTTTCGCACACATTAATGTTTTTAAGGGGAGCGAGAAATTAAAAGGATTTTTTCTTCTTTTTCTCTTCTTTTCTAGTCAGTTGTTTCTCGCGTTTTTGTTTTCTCTTCTACCATGCCAGGATCTCATGCTCAAGCCTATTCTGGCGGTGAATGTACTTAAAGCTTCTTTTTTAGCATGAAATTATTCGCTGCTTCATGTTGGCGCGTATACGTAGTATACCGCCTTTGCGATCGTTTCGACCCCCCCCCCCCCTACAATAACCGAGTCCCCTAGTTCCTTACCGAAAAGTGACTACCGCGAACTTCTGAGATTTTCCAAAGCGTGTAAAAAGTTTACTAATCCGTCAATAATAATGATTAAAATTTGTTTCTCATTCTGGGGTTCGCTAGTTTATGTGTAATGAATACCAAGAGTCTACGTTTCTTGGTTTTTTTTAAAAAAACCTTAGAATGGGGCGCGCTGATTTAAAATATGCATATATAAGCGGAAGCAAGCGAACTGATTCGAGGATGGCTGACCAGTTCGGCACTCCTTGAATGAGAATTTCACTCACTCCGTTTTGTTCACAACGTTGCTTTGACATATCTCCACAACACTGTCATCCTTTTCAAAAGTTGGTACTCCTTGCTATGATAGCCGGGGCCACCAGGATAGTGGTAAGTGCAATCTGTGATGAGCCTCGAGACTCATTAGACCATTTGCTAAACGTGGCTCATACAGGAGTCCACTAAGCCCTCTCGTCCCCACGCTCCTGATCACTGCGTCGGCGTCACGAAGAACAATGGGCCTTGGGTCCCAACGCGGCCGATACCCGTACCCCAATTACTCACGCTTCATTAACCATTTCACCGTCACGCTAGGATTCATCCAATTTTCAAAAAAAATTGTTTCGCATGTATTTAGCAATTTTTTCCTTACTCTCCGTTAAAACACAAATAAAAAGAGACCTCATTCATGGAAATGGGCCGAATAGAAGAGAAGTTACAGTAATCGAAATCCGAAGAAATCAACAAAACCTCGACTCCTCGATACGAAAAATAAAATGAAGGGGAAAAAAAGAAAGTATAAATTACAATTAAATATAATTGACCTCAAAATTTGACAAACAATTCATTTATATACCTAACGCTGAAAAAACTGGGAGAAATTACAAAAAATTTGCCTCTTGCAAGGGGCTTCTTTGTAAGAATTTTGACCTGAAGACAACGGTCGAATAACAGCAGTACTCCATACAATACACGGTGTGCCTGAACGAGTTAAACATTTTTCATACGTCCAAATCGAAAAATCTTTATATTTTTAACTACAATGTTTCTTGAATCGTTTAAGCAAAAAAAAAAAAAAAAAAAATTCCGTCGAGATTCTGGAACGCAAAGGCGCTTTAAAAGTATTCTGGGGCTATAATAGCTAAATCACCGGTAGTAAATTCGTTATATTATTAAAAAGAAATTGACTCCATAGTTTAATTCCTTAGTTTCTTGAATACGATTATTTTAAGCACTTAAACATTTATACCACCAATTTTAGCCATGGGGTGATTTCCTGAGAGCCGATAATATCACGAATTTCTCATAGAACCCCTCAACAGTGGCTTGCTTTTTTGGCAGCCGATTCGGCCATCGAACCGGAGTTTAAATGGAAGCTGATAATAACCCAAAGCTCTGAGAAAAATTTTGAGATGAGTATAAGAACGGTTTGTTGTAAGTAGCGAGGAGAGGCGGGCAAAGCGGCTAAAATCCTATCTAATTTTTACAGTTTTTCTGTTGAATTAATGTTGCCGCGGGCTTCTGACTGTCCACACATAGTTCTGTTCAGCATATCGATACATAAGTATTTACATTTTACATACGCAGAATCTAATTTTCACGTCGGGGAGTTGACATATTTTGATTTTTTCGATTTTATACGGAAAATTGATGGTTTTTCGGGATTGAAATTATTATTGTTTCATGAAAAATAAATGCACCCAAAATGACTATAGCATATTGATTCTTACACATTTGCACTCACAAAATTGGTTGGTAAATTCAACGAGTGGGTGCATCGACCTGGTATATCAAGTTTCTGCAATTTTTTACGGCAAATCAGTAGATTTTCGGGATGTAGATTGCTTACTTTCAATTCATGAATGAATAAAGCAACGACATGGTTGAACTTCTTTGCATGGAAAGACGTTTAAAATAACAAAATCAAGACGTATTTAATGCAATTGCATTTATATCGAGTCAATTTCTTTTCAATAATATAACGGGATTTTTACTACCGGTGATTTGGGTATTTTAGCCCCAAAATACCTTTAAATCGACTTTATCTTCTAGGAGTTCGACAGAATTTTTCCTTTCTTCGCTTAAATTATTCCGTAGCACTTTTCTTCAAGAATCTGATAAGATTTTGCTTGAGGCAGATCAAAAAACTTAAATTCGATCGAATAGCTTTCTACTTTCACAATACACGGTCTCGTCAAGGTGCGTCTTTGACCTCGCAGTGTTGGATCGTGAATTCTCTTTTTATGCTGTTTGCCTATTTTGAAATCTCTGTAAATGAAAACTAAAGGGGTTGATATGTGCGAGTTAATGACGCGCCTTATCAACACATTGTGTTGGAGTTCACTGCTTGTTTTGTTTTAAGTTCGAGCCATAGCAAAAATTTAACATTTAAGAGCGAAAAATTTAATTCGCTGGAAAATTTTGGGATTTACAAATTTAAGTTTTCGCGCTGAGTTTGAAGACGACCTCCGTTTTTCTCTATATACTCACCGAATTTCTTAGAATAAAGTTCACCGAATAAATCGAATTTTCCGAAAACAAGTGTTTTCCGGATTTAGGAAGGGCATTTTTTTTTAAAATCTGGGAAGAACTTTGGTCGTTTTTGGATTCAGAAGCAAAAAATAAGTGGATATATTTTCTGAAATGAAGTAATTTTACCGTATTTTCGGACGCAGTCGGAAGATATAGCCGTTCACATGCGATATAGGGGCGGGGGGTAATGCCATTTTCTTGAACCGAAAAAACCTTGTTATCAGACACAGTGGGGAAATTGTTGAGACGTGTGCGATACATGCAGACCCACTGCATTTTTTCCGCTAAATCTGGAAACCTTGATTTCTTTACCTTATGCACCAATTACCTGAAGATTTACTAGACTATTGGTGGGTGTAGGAAAATCAGCATTTCTGGACTCAGCGCTAAAAATTACTGATGTCAAAGTCCCAGCATTTTTTTTCGGTGCAGATCTGTGTCATCTAAAATTTTACGTAGACAACCTGATTTCATATTCAAGGCATTATCTTCCTTTAAATTAGCAAAATATCCGAAGTAAATCGATCTAAACGGAATAATTATCTTTTGCCCTGCCTGAGGTATTTGACAAAATGTCTTGTTTAACCAAAATGCTTTTGACTCTCGTATCACATTATACCAGAAGACGCTTTATGCATATTTATCGCAGTACATGTCGATGGCTAAAATGCGAAACCACGTATCGCAGTTTGCGATGTTTCAAGATTCCATGTCGGATTTCATTTTTTCGTCGGAAAATGTGTAGTACTTAATCTCTCGGAAACTAGCTTGATTTTTCCATTTCGTCAGCAGAATATTTGTACATGAATTCCGTGTACATTTCAAGCTATTAATTTGGCTTGTTTCCCTCCGAAAAAGTAAAATTAGAGCGGAAATATTGAAACACCGCAATGTAGATTGGTGGTTTCGCACTTCAGGTATCGATATGCAAGGCGAGAGGTGTCAGTCGAGGAAAGAAGGGTGTCACGGAACAGGAACACGGTTGAATAACGCAAATGAGAGGTTTTAATTGAACGTGTTCAAGCTGAAAGAAACTATGCGCTTAAGGTTTGCGGGCAACATAGTCAGAGATGGAACGTGGAATTTCATAAGGCTCGAATAAAGTTCACAAAAGTTGAAATTTATTAATTTTTTTTGAATTATTAATTAAACCTTTGGAGGTCTGAAAGTATTTCAGGTGGTCTTTCTGTTGATGCTGCGGTATTATGCTACTCTACTGAAGGTGCCAGACACAAAGGGGGAGGGGGCAAAAAGGGGAGTTTAGAGAGAAAAACCCCAACCTAACCTCTAAACTTCTTCCTCTGTTGGTTTACTGACTTATATAACCTCTAAACTAAAAGAAAACATTTGCAACGCGCGAATGTTTCAGGCTTGGGGTAAAACATTTCAAAATTCAGAATCACTGTTCGTGGGCGTCTCTTGCATGGCATATTGAATGCATCCCCAAAAATTTCAAAAAATTTCATAAAATTTAACACGAATAAATTTCATGAAATTTTCCATCTCTGAACATAGTTCCTCTCAGCATAGGAACGTCATTTTACGTACCTAAATCGTAAATAAAACTGGAAACCCGGCTGGGACTGGACGGAACGGAAGAGCTGACGTGGACGCTCGAGGAAGAAGGAATTGTTGACGTCAGGAATGCGTTCTTAACTTTGGACCATTTTGACAAGCGAGACGGCGGCAAAACTTCCTTGTTGTCAAACAGCGCCGACTGGAACATATCATAACTCCCTCGTTATTTATTTATTTTAGCTTCGAAAACTTTTCAAACAATGAGAGGAAATACAGAGGCGCCGGGCACCCATCCATCTTTCCCGGGTGCATAAGCAATGCAACCCGGCTATTGAATTCTTATGAATTATAGTGCGCTGCACTGAAAGAAAAATCTCGGTTTATTTACTAAGAAAAGGGTAAAATTACCAAGAATTCAGGGTTCTATTTGATCCCAGTTTTTTCTTGGTAAAATTGCCATTTATGGAATTGGTAATTTTACCAAGAAATCTTGGTAAAATTATTGAACTTTCTCGGTAATTTCACCGGATCTTGGTAAAAACGTCAATGTTTTTTATCTACTGTGGTAGAATTACCGAAATAAAACAGCTAAGTTACCGGGAATTGATTACCAATAAAAGTGGTATTCTTACCTGAAAAAAACAGTAAAAATCCCGGTTTTTAGGTAAGCTTACCAGTCTGTCTTGGTAAAATTACCAATAATTGGTAAAAAAAAGTGAGATGGTAAAGGTACCAACGGACCTTGGTAAAAACGCCGAGAATTTTTTTTCAGTGCATCCATCTTTCCCGGGTGCATAAGCAATGCAACCCGACTATTGAATTCTTATGAATCATAGTGCGCTGTTGGATAAATAGGACTGTTGCGAATTTCAGCTAGAGCAAAAAGAAGAGTTGTCTCTTAAAGCAACTCCCTCAAAAATCACTATGAGCTCATCTGGAAAGTCTGAAAGACATTCTTTCGTAATTTCACAATCTGAGTAAGAGATGTGCGTTTTTTTCCAGCTTTCCGCCTCAAAAACGGTATTGCGGCCAGGGCCAGATTCACCTACTTGCCGCCCATGGGCCGCCTGTATTTTGCCGCCCCCTTCTCATTCGTTTGGAAACATCAATCAAAACCATCAAATGAACGTGCCAGCGGAGAAGGGGTGCATAAGACGCGTTTACTCGTGTTGAACACATTTTTTGGGAAAGCCCTGTCAACACTACTAGCAAAAGGTCACGGTACTCTGCGCGAAAGTCAAGTTTCGTAAACCGATCTCTAATGGACAAGGCCTTCCATTCATAAGAAATGAACGAAAAAATTATGAAAGAACAAGCACAAAATTTGGTTCAATGAGTTTAACTTCCGCCGCCGCGCCACGCCGACTGCACCGTGTTTGGCGCAATGCGTGAAGTATTCACGCAATCTTGTAGGCGCTATGCGTTTCACGCTGACCGCACTGTCTTTGGCGCAATGCGTGAAGTATTCATGCATTCTTGTAGGCGCTATCCGTTTCACGCTGATCGCAGTGACCGCACTGTGTTTGATGCAATGCGTGAAGTATTCGTGCAGTCTTGTAGGCGCTAATATGTGTTACATGCCGACCGCCGCGCCGAGGGCTTCTCCTTTTCATCTCAAGTCCTCGACATCATTTCTCTTTAAGTCGCGCCGTTCCAGGCCGAATTGCGTGTTAGGTTTCTCTCTTAACTCGATTAATTAAAGGTGCTGTCTCTTGTATCACTGAAAGACGACATGATTAGAAATTACTATACTCTCAGGAATTTGAGAGATTTTGAAGCCTTTTCTCGTTTGTAATTTTTTCCTAAATCCGATTTTTTTTTTATACATACATTTGAAAAAATTACAAAATTTGCCGCCCCTTAGATTTGCCGCCATGGGCCGCGGCCCATGTGGCCACCCCCTTAATCCGGCCCTGATTGCGGCACAGGTGAACATTTCGTAACAGGAGTTGTTCGATCCAACCCCTCTGCACTAGGATACCACACTATTCAAAATCAACATGGCTGAAGCTACCGTCCACAAATCGTGAGGAAGCATTGTAGTCGTAATCAAAATCCTGTCTCGTCGCGTGTGTTTTGGTGGGTTGGCGCCGGCCATGTTGAATATTGCGTAGCATCCTCATGCGCAAAGGTTGGATGGAACGACTCCTCTTACGGATTGTTCACTTGTGCTGTGGTATCGTTTTTAAGGCAGGAAGCTTAAAGAGGCTTATTTTTCATGGGCAGCTTGTGAAGTTCGGAGTGCATTTCAGACTTTACCGATGCACTCATCGTGAATTTTGAGCCATCATCTGTAAGCTATAACTCTTCTTTTTTTGCTCTGGCTGAAGTTTGCAACAGGCCCATTCAGTGAGACAAAATTGCTCAAGACTTTTCGCAAAATTTTGCGCAAAAATTGAAAATTCGAAATTGAATCGAGCTGTGAGAAAAAGTCGGAAGTCCAAAAACTTATGAGCTATGGCTCTCTTTGTTAGCACTGTCGAGCATGGTTCATGGGTTTTCGGTTTTGCGCTTTTTCCGCATTACCAATTTTAAAATTGATTGAATATTTCGACTTGCAAAAAGGGCGAAAGTACGCATACCTAAAACCCAGACTGAACATTACTAAGAACACACGCCACGGTTCATGAATCACTGGATCTCCGTCCTTTCCCTGTTATGTGACTCGTCCCTAATTCTACCTTGCCGGCCGTCTTTTTGGGAAAAATTTTCATCCTCATTTTTGATTAAATTAACTCCGTAATCAAATTTGCCGTCATCTCTCTGAGCAATTTGTTCACGTGAGAACTTGCAATTATTTTTGAAGCTGAATTTTCTTAAATACTTCATCAAAAAATGAAATCACCAGGTTTACGCTCTTAGCTCATTATTACAACTGACATGGTTCTTGAGGATATCTTTTCCCCCTTCTTTTATCTCATTAGATTTATTAATGCCAAGCATGGATGAATCAGTACTGTATACTACCGAGTAGGTAATCAGTAAAAAACCCCGGAAAAAAAGTTGCTGAAGTAACATCTTGGATGTTAAAAATCTGCGCGGAACCTCATAAATGTTTTAAGGACACTCCGAGTTTAAAATTAACGTCCTTCCTACGTTAAATTAACAATCCTAACGTTTACATCAACATTTAATAGTTGTTCCGCAGATTCTTAACATCCGGTATGTTACTTCAGCAACTTTTTTCCGTAAGCGTTACTTCATCATTATGACCCTCTTTTTGTTGTTCAAGTTGCAGGAAGTATTTTCTCTCCATCTCGATTGGAACAACACTGGATTGGAGGCATGAAATGAGGTATCGAGGTCAAAATTAATACTAAAATTAAGCTCCATTTTGCAATTGGACGTATTTCTGCCAAACGGAACTATGTGCCTTTAGACATGAGCCCTAAGACCCATACGAATGTATGCATAATAAGGCTTACGTCATAATGCACATAGTTCCGTTTGGCAGAAATACGTCCAATTATGAACTACAATTTCTGCTTCAGATTAGAAACAACGAATGCACCATTAACTTCCCTACGCACATAAGTGTTTTTACGAATAAGCCAGAAATTGGAGCTCCTAATCGCAAAATAAAGTCCAATCAAGCATTTTATATTATTCTGGGTGTACAACCAAAGCTGAGTTGCGGAAAACGACTAACTTGAGTATCGTCCCTGAAAGGGAAAGCATCTTTGGGAGTAGAGAACTGGGCGGACTGGGGGGACGGTGATTTGGAAGACGTTGAGGGCACTGTCGGTATTCCTGCCCGCAGTTCCTCTGTCGACGGAAGAGTCAGGGTCAGCAAAGGAGCGAACAGTCTACGTTTGTTTATTGAACCTCCCATTTGATCCGGTCTAAACTGCGGCAGATCCTCAAACTCTTTACCTCGTTTCGAAGTTGGAGTTGAAGACACCTGAAAAAAAAAATATATATCCGTCTGAAATTACATTCCTTCGCCTCCCGGACGAAAGGATTTACCTCTTTGCCGAGGTTGAAAAGTTTGGCTTCGGCGGCCAAATCAGCGAGCCAAGGTAAATAGGCGACAGTGGCCACAAATCTTCACGGAACTGACCAGTGGATCTCTTGAAACAGACGCTCCTTGGCCTTAGTCCCTGAACATTTGAAAGGTCTAGAAAATGGATGTGTCCATCGCCCTGACGTCTAAGGACACTAAATGAGGGGCTTGGAGGACAAGGCCCATAAGTGCAGTTTTTGCTATTTCGAGAAATGTGTGTTTGAAGTGTAGAAATTACATGGGTCTTTATGGCGCAAAGAAAGTTCAAACTGACTTTTTGATGCTTAAAAATTAGAATTTGGGAGCGAATTTTGCACAGAAGGTGCATCAAGACTAGTTTTACTTGAAATCGTTAATATCTAAATTTTTTTAAAAAACTGCAATTATGCGCCTTGTCCTCAAAGCCCCTCAAAAAACGTCTAATGCTGTAGGTCCCTAACAAGGCATAGGCCAGATAACTAGCATACACATAAAAAATTGACTTCAACAATGGAGCTCTTAATTGCATGCGCCAGGGATTCAGGGGCGTGGCGTGAATTTCGATATGTCGATTGTTCTGCCATTGAAACCTGTGGTAAAGAATCAATTATTTAGGTGATCGCTGCGGACACCCTGCATATCGATCCTTTTCCATAGGTTTAAATGACATTACAATCGATATATCGCAAAGCACGTCACGCCACTGCAGGGATTCGTGATTTAAGTACTTTCACTTCAGTTAATCTACGTAGGAAACACGGTGGAGCCAGTGATTTTCACTAGAGTACCTATATGGAGAAAATAAGGGCATATCGGAAAATTGAGCTCTTAGGGACCAAAAGGGCAGCCAACCATCTGACACGAAAAACACTAGAAAATGCCGCTGCCGATCTTCAGATTCCAGTGTCAAACCAAGATGGCCAAGAATGCTAGTCTTCAGGTGTTTCGACGGACGCCATTTTTTGTGTCGGAGCGACGTGCGATGTATCGCATCGATTCGCTCGATAATTTCAGCTACTTGTCCTTTTTTCCGAATTTTGAGATCGCACTTCTGTTGTCGTGAGACTGAAGAATTCATGAACAAAATCTGACAAAGAAATTCAACGTAATAAAGGCGTGGTATTTTCAGAAGAAGAATATCGCATTCGATAGCAGTATCGAATGCGATAGTTTTCCTCGAAAAAAAACCACATCTTAAGTATGTTGAATTTCTTTTCAGATTTGGTACATGAATTCTTCAGTCTCATGACAACAAGCAGAAGTGCGATCCAAAATTTCGAAAAAAATGACAAGTAGCTGAAATTATTGAACGAATCTATGCGATATGTCGCACGTCGGTCTAACACAAAAAGTGGCGTTTGTAAAATCACTGAGTGTCCTTTCTCAATATAAAGTAGTAAAATTATGAAAAAACTAAGTCAAATGAGTCTACCGTCAAACGAACGAAAGGTCGCGTTATAACTGCAATGATTAATCATTCTGAATGATTGAAGTTCATGGGTTGGCTGCTCTTTTCGACCCTGAGAGCTCCATGACCTTACCTCTAAATGGACCACATTTTGCAATTAGGAACTATAAATTCTGGCCCGGTTTAAAAACAACGTATGTGCCATTAGTTTCCCTGTGCACATAAGTGTTTTTCCAGAAGAGCCAAAATTTATAGTTCCAAATTGCAAAATGCAGTCCAAATTATCGACTTGCCCGCACCCTGCCCTTAAATGAATTTCATATTTTAGCTGAGACGAACTTTCAGGCTCAAAAAACTCTCTCAGAGTTGAGATCATTATTAGGCCTTGTCTCCACGGGCCTTTTCACGAGATTTGTCGCAGGGAAAAATCCCACTTACGAAGTTGGGAGTCCCCAGTACCAAGTATGGTCCTTTTACTCCTAGGACCCACTGAGAGAGGAAGAAGAAGTGTAAACGAATTGTGCGATCTTTTGTTGAATACTCCATTGTTCATGTTTGTTTAGTTAAACTAATGTGTCTAATTGTCAATTGAGTGCACTTATTATTTTAATTCCGGTTAAATACTCGACTTTATGTAATTTATACGTATCTTCCCGCGCAAACTAGTTGCAGGGCCGTATGAGCCTCGTCCCGTGGAGACGGTAACTGGAAGAAATCCCAGAAGTTTCATTCCTGCGATTCAAACTTGGGACAAATCCCATGAAAGCGTCCCGTGGAGACATGGCCTTAAGAGGTTCCCCGATGCCATACTGAATCCACCTCTACATCCCGTCAAACTTTCCATGCACAATTGAGGATCAAATACGTACAATAGCGGGATTTTCGTGGCCACTTCAAAAAAGAGAACGTTTACTGCCTTCTCTTAAAGTGATTCACCGCATTCGTGGCAGGACTCGGTCAATTGGTCAGCTACACTGGTCACCGGATCGTGTTTTGATGCTCGGTTCTCGTAGATCAGCTAAAAATAATAAAATCTGTCCAAACAGCAACTTCTTGCATTCCGTATTAGCCGAGATATTGGGCCTTGAAAAATTCGGTTTATGATGTCATCCACCACGATAGTGACACCCTTGGTTTCTTCCACCTTGCTTTCATCCGAGTCTCGGATTGAGTAACCTGGGCAAATGTGTGTCTCACTAACTGATGAAAGCAAGGTGGAAGAAACCAATGGTGTCACTATTGCGGTGGATGATGTCATAAACCGAATTTTTCAAAGCGCGATACCTCTGTTAATAACGAACGTAGGGATTTGCTGTTTGGACACATTTTATTTTTAGCTGATTTCAAGCATTAAAACAGAACCATGTAACCAGCGCAACTGACCCATTTTTCTAGTTTTATTCATATCTTACTCTTATAGTATAAAATCATGAGACTAACGTGTAACGTATAACGCCTGAGGCTCAAAGCGGCCAGGGGTATACTTAGAAAGGCATCATACTCACCGAGCTAAAATCTTTAGCTGCGTTTTCTGTGAATGTTATTTCAGGAGTTGAGATCGGCACTGGTTCCTCATCGCTGTCTCCAATGACGGGTCCCTCTTCACTAGTTGTGCTGTTCTTTTTTTTCTTCAGACTTCCTTTCCTCGTTTGGATGATCCCTTTAACTTTTCCCCAGGGCGTTTTGTGTATCTTCTGTTGCTGGGCTTCTATCTTACCACCATTTGTCTCCTGGAGCTATCGAACAAACAATAGGTAGATGTTTGTGGGTTGAATACAGGGTGGGCCTAAAGTAACTGACAAGTCGTCGTTTCCCGGGACGAAGGAACGTAATTTCATTCCAAGGTTGCAAAATTGGTTCAAATCATATAGTTTTTTCACATGATAGTATTCGTGCTATTTTTATCAAAATTTTTTTAATTATTGTGTGAGATTAGAGGAAAAATCGATAACATTTTCGGTGAGAGTTGCCGAAAATTTTTCGGCCGGCCAGGTTGAGCTAGCGATTAGCGCGTCTAACTCTAGATCAATGAGGTCCCGGGTTCGAATCTCCGTGGTGGCGACTAATTTTCACGGGACTGCAGACGAGTGGATCTACAGAAACAGATTCTACCCGACCTTAATCCCTAAAAATTTGAAAGCCGGAGCATGGATGTGCCAAACTCCTCCGGTTATAGGACATTTTGTCAACGATTTTTTGTCCGCGCACCTGTTTTTTCCAGTTATTTACGTCCACGCGTTTTTTCAGCACGGGAGTTTTGGTCCACGTGCCAGTTGAGAGAGACCCAAAGTTAATTGGCCCACATGTAAATACAAACGACAATTAATTGCTCACGACGTTTTTGGATGAAAATATATAATGTCTTGGAAGAATGAGGGTTTGCTTGTTTTTTTGTTTTGTCTGTTTGGTCCAACGGAGAATAATATATAGTTGAGAGTTTTGGTAAAAATGGGGGAGCGTCAATTCTGTGAGACAAAATTCACTAAAACTCTCTACACCTCTTTGGTGTAAGAGGACTTAATTATCTCTCAAGGAATTCCCACCTTGTCATACGTGAGCCAGATAAACCTCTCTATTTGCCTCAGCTAAAGGCTCTTAGATTTTTCCTGTGTACGATACGTATCTTGATTTATTTTGCGAGGAAAGATCTGTACTTTTAAAGGATGCCTGTCATTCTTAATACGTTCAATTTCGTATAATACTGTGCAAACCTCTATTGTGAAATAGCTGCTTCAGGCGCCGCTGCACGGCGCGGCGGGCGGGCGGTCAGCGCGAGACGCGCATTGGCGCCTACAAACCTAAGTGGATACTTCAAGCATTGTGCAATGCGAGAAGTATCCACTTAGGTTTGTAGGCGCCTGTGAGTCTCTCACGCTGGCAGCACGCCGCGGCCGCTCCGCTCTGTTAGGCTCTAATATTTACACTCGCATAGTCAGCGTTTTTTAACTGATGATTTTGAAATTTTTGCACACTCTCTATTGATTATTCTAAATTGATGAGAAAAAATATGTATCACTTTATCAAAGGAGAATAATAATATAATGTGTGTTTTTTAAATGTTGGTGGTTCCGTGTCAAATTTAATGATTTCCAAAGCACTTTAATTTTTTCTTTTACATTTTGTGCTTTTATTGTGCTGCAGCGAGGTGTACGCGCAACGAAACGCACAAAATTTGACGTATTTGACTCTAACAGATCGATGCACAAATGGGTTAAAACTAAAGATTGCGTGCTTCTTGGTTTTTTTTCCTCTTTTATTCATTTTTGTGGTTTCTGCCGGCACAACTGCGGCTCATTGAGATTAATGTCGCTTGGAAAAGGTTTTACAAGTATTTGTCACGTTTTAAAAATATAAATGTTTACCTATACATATATAAGGTATATTGTGCATTCAATATTTTAAGGATAGAAATAAAACCAAATATTAACCAATGGCAATTTAAAAAAATGATTCAAAAGGAGAAAGTAATAACATTTCATTTAGAAAATGAGCAACCATAACAACACCTCCTTCTCTCTCAATTTCTAATTTCCATATTGCCGATATAATTTTACATACCGACTAAAATATAACGCTTGGACCAAGTCACTGTTGCTTATTTTACGTGTGGGCGTAAACTACTGGACAACAAAGGTGCGCGGACAAAAAATCGTTGACAAAATGTCCTGAAACCAAATCCTCCTGATGTTTACAGGCAATAAAATAATCTCTATGTTAAAACTCATGTCTATAGATGGCTGTGGAGTCGTAAGTTACTAAATAAACAGGAATAGAAGTCAAATAATCTGTGGGAAAAAATTCTGGGTGAAAATGCAGTTTGTGCGGGGAATTTTGGCATTACAATGTAATTACATTCTTTCGTGAGGGATTGTGTCTATAATATTTGAATTAACAGAGATAAAAGGTTCCGATATGCGCCGTTGCTATCGTGACAAAGAGCTGATTCTTTAGAGGGGGCTCATTTCACGGGTGCCCCCAGCGGGTCGATTGTTGAATCGTTATCGAATGGACTTGATCGATAAATCCCTATCTTTACAATGCTATTTATCGATCAAGGTCATTCGATAACGATTCAACAATCGACCTGCAGGAGAGGCGACTAGAAATGCTCAAATAGCAATCCCCGTTCTGTGACACATCGTTAAAAGGAGGATAAAGGAACAAGAATGATGGCGCAACCTACAGAACAATTATACTGTTTTGGCTCTATCAAAGTCCAGTTTGGACCAATTTTCAACAATCTATCAAGCCTGTTTTAAAAATCGCAAGAAGACCGTCAACGTACGTAAATGCATAGGACTGCTATTTTTCCATGCTAAGGAAGAACGCCGTACGAACATTTGAGAGTTGCCAAATTTTCTCTGATAAAATGTTTACTTTTGAAGAAAATTATCATTATTTATCCTTGAAATTTTCAGACTTTTTAAATCAAATTACAAGCAAAATTGCCTGAGAAATTGGAAGAGAAATACTCACAAATTTTCTTGAAAATTAGTTAATTGTCAGAGGAAATTTGGCAACGCCCGAAAGTTCATACGGCGTTTTTCTGAAGCACGGCAGTATTGCTTTCATTGCTAAATTATCGGAGTATGTACTTCTCGTCACTTCGCGTGGGGGTGGAGGGCGCCAACATAAAAGCGCGCTCAGAGGAGTTATAATTTCGCATCGATTGAAAAATTTCAGGGCGCCTCTCTTAGATAGCCCCAAGAGGACCCAAAAATAAGCCTCCCTATGAACCATCAGCCCCTTGTCACAATGATTAACAGTCCGAACCGGAAACTTTTATCTCTATTCGCTCAAAAGTTAAGACACTTGTCAGTTACTTTAGGCCCGCCTGTATACTCTGAGTTGCTAATAAGGCAATGATTACTTTAACACATTCTGTTAAAATGGTCAAACTGTCTCTGAAAAGTGCAAATATGAGATTCAATAGTAAAATCCACAAACATTTTCAGTGCTAAACATATTACTATTTAATCGAACGGGGCTGGCTTTCATCGAAATTAACAATTTAAAACCAAGGATTGTGGACACCTTAATCACCGGAATTGCTCCTCATAATATGTTAATTTTTTGACCAATTTCTGTCCCCACAAAAAAAATAATTCCTTGGGGGAACGGGGGGGGGGGGAAGAGACTAACCGCAAGACCACGTTCAAGTCTTCATGATCAACAATGTAAGCTTTTATGAACTCACCTTATCGTACAGACTTTCATCTAAAGATGCTACCACTTCCCTAATGTGTTCACAATCCAGTGATTTGCTCCTTTGGACTCCATTCGCTATCTCAGCAAGTTTCTGCTCATACTGTTCGTCTTTTAAATCTGAAATAAAAATTAAAATGATATCTTGCTAGAACCAAAAAGTTGAGATCCTTTGAATCATATTTCAAAATTGAGGAATTTTATACAACAATGGCGTCAATGTCATGCAATGCTGCTAAGATTGTGCGACTAAGAATGTATTTTACGGCTAAAATTTTACTCGTACTGTCGTACATTCGGAATGATTTTCGAGAAAGCTGAGTAAAAATTCAAAGAATAATGGAGGGAAAAAACTACTCTCAAGTGGTCATTGAAATTGACACAGGATTGCAACGAAATCACACAATATTAGTGGCATTTTGATAGAGGATGATAGAACCCTTTTTGCTTAAAATGCTTCAATTTCAGTGCAGAACTACCGAAAAAAATACACAAAATCAGTAACATCAGTTTCGTGTAACTCTACACATAATGTGTCTTTCTTTTGATGAAATGGCCTCCATTCCCACAAAAGCCCTGAAATTCATAGAGTTTTACGGAGAACAGGGCTCACGTGGAGTTTGAGGTGGACTTCGTGTTGGTGCGTTAAGTTCGCCTTCAATTTCGAGTGATACTGTGCCACACTTAAGTGGTCGAATAGTTGCATCGCGTTTCCGCGTGCTAAGTAAGGTCGCGCTCATTTTTATTGTCATCCCTCAAATTCCCCATCACCACCGATGTGCTTGCCCAGAGACAAAAGACTGTTATCTTGGCAATGGTGAAAGCTTCTACTCTCGATACTCCGGCATTCAACATTCAACTGTTGAATTATCTACTAGATGAGTGTTGAACTTGTTGGGTCTTTCGTCTCATAAACATACCGAAGTAAGGTGAACTCGTTTGGCATATTAAGTCAACCAAAGCTCAACATCCACCTTGTATGAGTCAACAGCCGGAAAAAAGGGCGATGACTGTTGCTCCCATATAATTTTCCATAGGGAAGTGTTGAATCCCCAAGAGTAGAAGTTTCCTTGTCGCCAAGAGGCCAGTGAAGGGTCTCTTCTCTCTGGATGTGCCTGACGCGACCTTAAGTATTCTGGAGGCGGTCAGAAAATAATCCGACTGCAGTGAGTAAGAATATCATAGAGATAACTGCAAGAGGACTAAATGCCTGACGCTCAGATGCCGTATAGTTTCACGAATTGCACCAAGTGCCACCCGTTGCACAGTAGATCGAGTTATTAGGAGAGGTCGGACAAAATTTGGAAACTTTAAACTCTTAGAACTCATTTTATACAAAACTTTGAGGTTCTAAAAATGATTTCATTGGTTTTTTCGTGAAATTTTCTGCCGAAAGCACCCCTTGAAATTTAAAACATGACTAAATAAACATTAAAATTTGCAGTTTTTGTCAAAAACTTCATATCCGACCTCTCTATAATTGACTCGATCCACTGTGCGACGTGCCCCGTGGCATCCCTCAAAAATGGAGGACTCGTGATTAAAGCCGAATTCATTTTTTTTTCTTTCCTTATATCTCTAGGACATCTAATCAGGGAAAAATTCTGTATCAATTCCTAGAAGAAATTTATCTGTCCGGTGAATGTGTGAAGTGCACTTTTTGAAAAAATTCCGATATTAATGATGTCAAGTGAAACTAGTCATAATGCATGTTCCGTGACAAATTCGATTCCAAATTGGACGTATTTCTGCCAAACGGAACTATGTGCAATACTGCGTGAGCCCTGTTAAGCATATATTCTTATGGGTCTCAGGGCTCATGTCTTAATGCACATAGTTCCGTCTGGCAGAAATACGTCCAATTCATATTTTTAAGCTTCAAAAACCCAGTTCAAACTTCCATTCCCCCATAAAGATCCATGTAATTTCGAAACTTTAAACACGTATTTCTCGAAATGACAAAAACTGCACATATGGACCTTGTCCTCCAAGCCCTTGAAATATCCTGCCTCCCGAAGGAAACGGATTAATAATACGAGGAGTAAAGAGGAGGAGGAAGAGGAGGAAGAGGAGGAGGAGGAAGAGGAGGAGGAGGAGGAGGAGGAGAAAAAGTGCGTTGGGCATTTGCCCCATATTTAAGAAGTCACATTCACTTAAAGGGAACGGGAGACCGGCTTTAATTTATTAGTCTCTTGCTTTTTCAGCTTAAAATTTTGGCCCGGTGCCAGTTCGACAGCTCCTTCAGCAGAGAAGTGTTCCCACAGCATTGCCGGACCGGGTTCCGCGTGAAACATTCCCCAAGCTCATTACAGCGTTAATTTGAGCGAGATAAAGATGAAAAGTTATTGGAAGCACGAGCACTTACACGCCTCGTGTTGAGGGAAAGGTCATTTTAGCCTTGTCACATTCTTTTCTTTACATTTTTGCGACAAAGACTTTATAACGCAATACTTTCGCACGCCGCTTGTAGTCTAGAAGAAAAGTGTATCATTTTCTAGTTATTCTTAGCAGTTTCATTGAATAAGTATTGGCTGCATCGGCTGGCTACAGCTCGCGCAGCTTTAGGAAGCTCTACAGGATGTCCAAAAAATATTGCAATAATCTCAAGGGTTTTCAAGGAACTTTCAAAACTAGAAAAAAGAGAGCGTCTCCTTTCCTCTATTTTTTACGCAGTGGTGTCCCGAAATCAAGTAATAGACCGGAGCAGAACGTTGCCAATTTCTTCATCCCCGGTCGTTAATATTTTATAGCTTCTTGTTCGGCACGAATTCTGCGTTTGATATTCTCACTGGTAAAAAAAAACCTCTTGGTTCAAGAGTACAGTTTATTGTCGCCGGATTTAAGAGTCTGGACTCTTGTTTCAATGTAAAATCCGGTTGAATCAATGCAAAATCCGCTTGAATCAATGCAAAATCCGCTTGAATCAATGCAAAATCCGCTTGAAACAAGAGTTCAAGACTCTTAAATCCGGCGACAAGAAACTGCACTCTTAAGTCAATGCAATGCGGCATTGGTCCAAGAGGTTTTTTTTACCAGTGCTCACGGTGAGAAAATCTCAAAACTGAGAACCAGAGATTTCAGTACTTCAACCGGAGTTTTGGTTATCTATACCAGGATATTCTCGTTTCATTTGTCAAAATTTTGGATGTGCTAATCGAAAATCTGTTTTGTCCCAAAAGACGGTTGAGAGTCCGATTTTTCAACTTGGCAACAGAAGCGAAGTGCCCAGACGAAAGCGCATTCGACCGTAATCGAAGTCTGTCCACCCACGAAATTAAATAAGTTAATTCTCATCATTTGCACCAGACGGTTTCGAACGATATTCTGCGGAGCACCGCTCATAATTTTGTAATTATATTTTTAAAATCTTGGTCTGAAAAATACAGCATTTGGGAACGAGGAACTATACTTGCGATACATTCTCAGTTTTTGGATTTCGTTTGTCGAACTTCTGTAACACATTAACTTCTTCTCCAGGGGCAGACTGGATAGAGGGGCTAGGAAGCGACCGCCTCCCAAGAATCTGCTCTAATTAATTGATAACGCGAGTGAATGAACGTTGCCGAAATGCTGCGAGCAACTATTATTGCTCCCAGGCCGCTCATGTTGCCTATCGAGATATTGAAGGCGAACTGATTTGAGCGAGTGAGAAGCAACGTGAATGGAGTGAAATTTGGGTCCCTAAGGTGAGATTTGGACGTGACTCCCGAATGGAGATGTTGCATGTGTGAGGAATTTGCGATTTGACCATTGATTCTTATGTAAAAGTTCGCGAAAAACACGATAGTGCCACTGGTTTTCTCTGAAATCATCTCCCAAGCTTAAAAAAAGCTCTCAAGTTGAGGCCAAAATGGAGGGGATATCCCACGGTATCCTGAGAGTCCACCTCTACATCAAAACAAACTCTCCATGCAAAGATAGGGAGCAAATACATTGACAGGGCTGCCACTTTATTTGGGGACTCTAAAACTGAAAACACGGCAACCCTGCTAATGTATTTGCTCCCTATCTTTGCATGGAGAGTTTGTTTTGATGTAGACGTGGACTCTCAGAATAGCGTGGGATATCCCCTCCATTTTGGCCTCACTTTGAGAGCTTTTTCTGAGCTTAGGAGATGATTTCAGAGAAAATCAGTGGCACCATCTTGTTTCTCGCGAACTTTTACATAAAAATCAATGTTCAAATCGCAAATCCCTCACACATGCAACATCTCCATTCTGAAGTAAACCCCCTCCCCCCTCCCTTTACACCCCAAGGAGGGTCGGAGGGGCTCCGAGACTGAAATTTGTATACCTTTGGTGGATTCCCTTTTCGACAGCGCGATTTTGGAGTCCGAGTTGGAGTCCGAGTCCGACCTAAAATGAGCGAGAGACAAGCCTATCCCAAAGAGCAGTGATCGCGATGAATTACGATTTGATCGGAGAGTGTATCGCGAATTTATCTATGTCGCTTTATCGCAATAATGTCGGATGAAAAATTGGGATGAATCGCGATTTCATCGCAAAAATTTGCAATAAATCGCGATTTCATCGACTGCGATTCATCGCATCATCATCGAGAAAAAACCGTGACAAATTGAGATTAAAATCGATTTTATCGAATGCAATTTAATAGAGATAAAAGTGCGACGAGATCGAGGATAATCGCTCAAATGTTGATGATTCTCGCGATTTTATCGCCAGCAAATCGAGAAGAGAATCGCAACTAATTTGCAAAATATCGCGATTTTTCCGTGAAAAATGCTGCGGCAAATCTACGCCACTTCGCACGGGCGCCGGAATTCTGCGGCATAAAAAAATTGAAAACGCGTTTCATTATTAGATATTTGGCTTAATTCTAAGGCACTGCGAGTCCAAAATGATCAAAGAGTTCCTGTTTAGCTGACAAAGCGGCGCGACGCTCCGAGTTTTGAAGACAATTCATCATTCTCCGGAAAAATTTCCACTTTGAGTTTGACCTTCAATTCTCATAGACTTCTAGCTTAATCGCAGAGGAACTCCAGGGGACTATTATCTTGCTGCTATATTTATCATACACTTCTCAATGTATTTGGAGTGTCGTCGTCAAGGATTATGTGTTTGGGGTTTCGGAGAAGAATGCCGTTTCTCCGTCGAAACCCC